AAGCACTGACTTTACCTAATCACTTTGTTCTTTTTGTATGTGTCACACAAAACAGTCTACATCACAACTGGCCTATGAGCATGTCTGTGGGACATTTTCTTGATTGCTAATTGATGTAGGCGAGCCCAGCCCACTGTGGGCCTGGGCTGTCTGAAAAAGGTAGGTGAGCAAGCCAGGGGAAGCAAGCCAGTACACACCATTTCTCTGGTCTGCCTCAGTTCCTGCCTCCAGGTTCCCGCCTTGAGTTCCTGCTCTGATGTCCCCCAGTGAGGAACTGTTATCTGGCAGTACAAGATGAAACAAACCCTTTTCTCCTCAAGTTACTTTTGGTATTCCTGACAGCAACAGATATAAACTAGGGCAATCCGAGAAAGAGACAGAGGAAGAAAGAGGGAAAAGAAGGGAAACAGGAGAGGAGGGACAGGTTTTTAATGACTCAGTTTCCTCTTGTAAGAGTTAAGTTTGAAGATGCTGCCTACACATGATGGAGGGGGGTATACAGCACAAGGGAAAATTTCAGGGTTCCAAGTCCTTGGAGAGCCATTTAAATCTGCCCACCACGATCCTTTGTTACAGTCTTGTCCCACATCAGCTGAGTGTGGGTTTAGGAAACAGGTGGGCCCAGGATGCAGCATTTGAAGTCAAGTTTTAGTTGCTGCAGACACTCTTCAGGTTAAAGAAATAGAGAAGTATTCTGATAGGCTTAGGTCACGGTGGGGAGAATTTTTTTTTTTCTTCTGTATCTTCAGGAAGTTAAGCCAATTACCCATCTGCTTGGATAAGGCGGTGGTCCTACTAATACTACTACTAACTAACACAGAGTGATTGCTTCCTTTCATACCCAGCACTGCTCTAAGTTCTTTTTACAAGCTGATTTGTCTTTTTCTGAATAGAACCCTACTGGGAAGGCACAGTCCTTAAACATAGAGGCAAGGAAGAAAAGTGACTTGCCAAAGGCCATATGACAGAGGAGAATGGAATTAGGACAGTACTGGTAATGTCTTCAGACCTGCCTCATGCCACAGCATCTTGGCAGCAGAGCTAAGCTAAGGCTCAGGACTCAGTTTCTCCCTGTTTGCTTCTTCCTCTTCTCCAGGGACTGTGGGCCACCAGACAGCCATCCTGACAGATGGAACAATAGAAGAGACATTTGACATTTGTCAGTGTCAATCATATACCAGCCCTCTGGTGTGGTCTCTCAGGGACACGGGAGCATGTCATGCTATTTCTATGTCTCTAGGAAGGGTGGAGCCCTCTTTCAGACCTTCGTTATTCCTGAGACCCATTATGAACACTTAATCCGTTATCTTGCTTGCAGCTGAGCCTGTGGATTAGTTGTATGCTCTTTTCTTGGACTAACTTGATCCTTTGTGCTTCTGAAGCCAGACTTCTGGAAAGAGTAGTCTACACTCCTCCCACTGTGGTCTAGGTGCTGTTCGATTCCATGATTAAATTTGCCAAGGAAACGTGAAGCTCCAGTTGCCATGAAAAACATTTACTTTTCAGCTCAACAAGGCCATGACAGGCCCCCAAAAACCAAGGAGCTCCTGTGTACAGAGGCAAATACACGCAAGCTTCCTGCACAAAACAGAAGCCACTTTTTTTGTATCAGTAGATTGGAAATTGAGGAGACACAGTCGCACTGTTGCTACAGTCAGAGGGTAATAAACCTATGAACTCTCATGGGATCTTAGACTACTGAGATCTCTTACTAGTCCCTCTCCAAAGTGCTTTCTACATTGCAGCCTCAGTAGACTTTTTGAAGTATGCCTCTGATCAACTTACTCCATCTTTAACACATTCCACTTCCAGCTCCACACCCTTTATGGCTTCCTAGTACTCTCAAAGCAAAATCTACCACTCAGCATGATCGTCCCCACTTTGCCCTACAGTCTTGTTGTGGTTGGCATCTTTATCAGTCTAGGGGTATTGCTGGGATCATTTTCCCGGCCAATTAAAGAATTAAAATGCAGGGGGGAAACTCACACCAGCAGAGAGCAGCAAACAGACTTTTACTGGAAAATAATCACATCCATATACATAAAGAATCACACATACATACATACATTCATACAGGAAGATGAAGCTCTCCACAAGCAGAGGGGACTGGGAAACCAAAATGCAATGTCCCCCAGAAAGGGCCTGGGTTTTAAGTGATTTCCCCTACCTAAATTTGGATTGGTCCACTTAAACAAAGAAGGCTGATTGGTCACATCTCCAAGCTGAGACATTCAGGTATTCCTGACTCTAAGCAGACTAGCTGAAGGGCCCTATTGCCTTCCTGCCAGAGACCAAGAAGACAGAAGTATGTCATCGTTATTACTTTTCAGTGACCCTGTGTGCTTATTAGGGATTTAGTTTCTTACAGTCTGTGTGACAGCCACACTAGCCTTCCCGAGTGCCTTTAGTCCCCTCCCACAGGGTCTTTGCCCATGCTTCTCTGACTGGCTCTCTTTCCATTCATCCCCTCTAATGTTTGCTATGCTCTTATGTTTAACACTGCAATGGGTTGGATGGTGTCCATTTCCCTGGGGCTGGCTGATGAGGGGTGTGAAAACAGGAACTTTATCTCCCAGACCAGCAGATACAGTCCAGTGGATTCTGGTACCTTTACAAGAGGAACTTACTCATTATTCATCCACATCATGAGCCTGTATTTCCATGTTTCTTAGCAATACTCCATAGTGCTTTCAGATAAGCTCATTACTATTAATTGACTTTGGGCTGGGGAGATGGCTAAGCAGGTAAACACTTGTCATGTAAGCATGAGGACCTGAGTTTAGATCCCCAGAGCTCACATAAAACTGAAGGTGGTAGTAGGTAGCTGTAACCCCAGTGCTCCTATGGGGAAATGGGAGGCAGACACTGGAGCATTCCTGGAAGCTCACAGGCCAGGTAACCTGGTCTGCTCATTGGCTAACAAGAGACCTTGTGCCAAGATGGTGGGGCTGGAGAGTTGGCTCAGTGGTTAAGAGCACTGACTGATCTTGCAGAGGATCCAGGTTTGATTCACAGCACCTACATGGTGGCTAACAACCATCTGTAACTCCAGTTCCAGAGAAATCCAATGCCCTCTTCTGACCTTTGTAGGCATTGCAGGGCATGGGTGCACTTGCATACACGCAAGGCAAAACACTCATACACCTAAAATAAAATGATAACATTCTCTTTAAAAAAATGGAAAAGGAGGCTGGACACCAGAGATTTTCCTCTGACCACCACATGCAGACCATGGTAGGAACGTGCCCCCCCACCACACAAAGATTTAAAAAAATGATTTTAAGTGTTGGGAAGGGCAACCCCATACAGGTAACTTGTCCAATATTTCACGGTTTGCAAGCAGTGATTTAGGACTATGATTAGTCCTATTTATTTTTCAGACCAGGTCACTAGCCATTAAAAAACCAAAAGGAAGCAAAAGAAGATTACATCAAACTCAACAGGAGCACTTGCAATAAAACAGAAACATCCAAGCCAGCTAAGATAAAAATCACAAAATAAAAATTCCGTTGTTTTAGGTTGGTAGAGCTCTGGTTCATGGAACACGGGCAAAATAAATTGTGCCATTTTAAAATGCACTTTTTAGGATCTGAGAAAGAGCATGTCATCTCTGTACAAAAAGGATTGGTTAATATTCTACCATAAATGTCATTAAAATTTTGACATTCAATAAATGTTGGGTATTAAATTGGTGGTGAGGGAAGTCTATTTCTGGAAACCTTTTCATTCTTTCTCTAATAAAACTCCATTTTTTTGTGTAAGGAAATGAGAAAAATTAATCACGTAGGTGATTAGAGTAACTAGACCTATTGGTTTCAAAGAACAACCTCAAACTAGATACACCTTTTTCACTTACCTATAGTTTGGGAAAGACCAACGAAACATAATTTGTATTTTGCAATGGTCTTTTTACACATTTAAAAAATTCCGATGTTACCTAACAAAATAGTTGGAAATTTGCATGAAAAAAAAAATCAAATCGAATATTATCGGCCCTTGCTTACATCCTCCTGACTCTGCTCATTTCACTTTGCCTTGAGGTTCGTCTTATTTGGGGGAGGGGGCTGCGGGGGAAAGAAAGGGAAGGTATATTTAAACAATGTAGACATGCAAAGAAAAGTTCGTCATAGGGGTTTTCGGCCTGCTAATTTACTAAAGTGAGAATAGGTAGCAGTCCAGGAAAAGTTAATTTCGACATGGAACGTAGGGAGCCATAACCAATAAATTCTTGTATTTAGAATCCAGCCTTAAACAATGTCTAGTAATTAGAATATACGAGAAAGGAAAGAGAAGGTCGCATTCTGGTCTGACTCGCTAGCTCTTGCTGCAGCATTTGCCTTCAAGTTTTTAGCGCGGGCCAATTTGCCCCCTTCTCGCACAGCCGCAGCCGAAGATGGACTGGGCAGGTAGTGTCCCCGGCGGCCGGGGGACCTCCCCGGGAGCCGGTGCAGGGCCAGCCCAGCCGCTGGACCCACGCGCCCAGAACCTTGCAGCGCGCCTGCGCGCCCAGTCACGTGGTGGGCGCTCCGCGCGGAGCGGGTTAAAAGTCACCGCCGCCGAGTGCCCTGAGCAGTCCCTTAAGCAGACTTAGATCCACGGCTGTTCTCGCCGGGGTTGACCAACTCCCTGTTTGGGGGGAGGCTCCGCGCGGGGAAGCGAGCCGAGCCGCCCAGCGCCCTTCCTCATAGGCAGGCACACGCGAGAAACCGCGTCTTTCAACTGACAATGAAACCGTAGCCGCGCCGCTCGGGTGGTTCTCGGCGAATGGGCGCGAGGCCGAGGCCGGGACGGGGAGGGGAGAGGGAGGGTCGTCCTGCCCAGGCCCCGCCCCAACCCCGTCTCGCGCTCCTGTTGGCGAACTCCCCCGTTCTGGCCCCGCCCCTTAACGGACCTGTCGCTCTGTGACAGGCGGAGGGGCCAGTTCCTGTTGGGCGAGGGGGCGGAGTCAAAGGTTGCCAGAGCTCCGCCCGAACTCCAGGGGGCTCCTCCCCCTTTGTGCTCCTCACGGCGGGGCGGGCGTGAGGGGGGGATGTCATTGCCGCCCCGCGCCGCCGAGCCTTCTCCGTTCTCCGCTGCTTCTCTGGCGCCCTCGTCCCGTCGGCTTTCGCCGCCGCCGCCTCAGCCGCACGGGGGACACGGATGGCTAGTGGGGCGCGGGGGCCTTCTGGGTTGAGAGAGCGGCGGTCGCGGACGTTGCTGAGGCGGAGACTCCCCGTCGCCGCCGCCGCTGCCTCCTCCACCCCCTGTGTCCCGGCCTCGAGGCGCTGAGGGCGGGAGCGCGCCCAGCTCTTCCTCCGCCTCCCTCTTCTTCCTCCTCCTCCTCCTCGTCCTCCTCCTTCTCCGGGTCCCCGCCCAGCACCCCTCGCTCCAGGCGGCGGCGGCAGCGGCGGCGGCGGCCGCGGAGGACAAGCGAGACCCGCCGCCGGGGCACAACATGGCGGAGCCCTCGGCCCCGGAGAGCAAGCACAAGTCGTCCCTCAACTCGTCCCCGTGGAGCGGCCTCATGGCTCTGGGAAACAGCCGGCACAGTCACCACGGGCCCGGGGCCCAGAGCTCGTCCAAGGCGGCGGGCGGCGCGGCGGCTCCGAAGCCGGGGCCCCCCGCGGGGCTGTCCGGGGGTTTGTCGCAGCCGGCCGGCTGGCAGTCGCTGCTCTCATTCACCATCCTCTTCCTGGCCTGGCTGGCCGGCTTCAGCTCGCGCCTGTTCGCAGTCATCCGCTTCGAGAGCATCATCCACGAGTTCGACCCGTGGTGAGTGTGGCCCGGCCGCCCTCCCTCCGCCCTTCCCCCGCCAGCTGGATCGCTGTCCCCGCGACTCCCTGCGTGTCCCGGGCGGGACCCGACCCGACCCCTATCACAGCGGATCGAATCCGATCCGGTCGCATCTGGGCCCGGCGCGCCCCCTGCCCGCTCCGAGAAGTTTGCCCGGGAGCGGAGCCTGATCGTCGGCCGCCGGGGTGGGCCGGCCCCGCACGGCCGCTCCTCCCCGGCCCGCCGCGCCCCGCTCCCTGGGCCGGGTCCCCTTGCCCTCTCTCCCTCTGCCGCGCCTTTGCGCCTTGTTGCATTTTATTTTTCCCTGCCTGCGATCGGAGCAGCCCCGGGATTGCCCTGTGGCCGTTGGAGGTGAGTCGAGATGTACTGGAACCCCTCGTCCGCTCAGCCTCGCAGTTCGACGCTTTTCCCTTATCTCTCACCGTCCCCCTCAACCCCCGTGCAGAGCGGAGTGTTAGAGGCTAGAAGATGATCTATTACCCCAAAAGTGATCGGAACACTAGCGGCTCTTTATTCCACATCAAGTATTTTCTAGAGTGGCCTTTTTTTTTTTCCTCCTCCCTTTCCAAAGGCCCTTAAGTGCACTCCGCACTCCGCTGTTCCCACAGTCATCTTGGGTTGCTTTTTAGAAAGAGATCGTTATTCTGTTAGCCAAACTATCACCCTCGGTGTTGTGCATGAGTTCCTTTATTAGTCTTTGCAGGAAGCTTTGTGGAGAAGAGAACGGACAGTATCAAAGTGATGGAAGCTTAGATTGTCGTGCCCAAGTCACACACACTACCTGGGACTGACCTGAATGTTTTAAGAAATGCCCCCTCAAGGAACACTAGGTGATTCGGACCCTGCTGGTCTGTGAGTTAGCCAGACCTAAAGATTGCTTTAACTTTCTCCCAAGTTAGCCCAACCTGAGTTAAGTTTTTCTCACCTCAGAGTATGCATCTTTAAGTTGTTTTATTCATCTGGTTGCCCTATCAACCTTGAATTAATCTTACTTGTAATTAGACCTAATTAAACTTTAGGGTGTTTGTCTTATCTGAAATACACTGAGAATCTTCTTGGGTTAGTAAATACATAAATTACAAATTTTGTGGGGAGGAGGGATGACTTACTCATATGTTAAAGTATCGGATTTAAGTTATGCTTTTACTAAGAAAAATATTTATGTTGCAATATCTATTGAACACCACAGGGGCCTACTCAAAGAAAATTCTATTTAGATAAACAGTTGCTGTGACGGCCTTCTATGAGATGCTTTAAGCTCATTTTAGAGTTTTTTTTTTTTTTTTAAATTTTTTCCCCCTATCGTTAGTTTTGCTTTTTAAATGATCGTTAAATTAGGAGTCACAAAAGGAAATTATATTGGTGCAAATTACATACGAGCTTAAGAATTTTTGTGAAGTCTTACTAACTGGACCCAATAGTCTTAGGTATTTTTTAGCTTTAAAACACTGGAGCAAATTAGATCGAAATGAATTTGGGACTAGAAATGAAAATTACTAGAATTTACTGAACAATATGAAAAGAGAAAGTTGGGTCTTTTCAGATGAAAATTGCAAGGCATGCTTGATTGACTAAAACATTTTGCGTAACAAAAATTACGAATGCTATGTCCAGAGAATAATTTTGCAGTATTTCCAGAGAGTAACATTTACAGATGGAAGGCACTTACTGTTTGAGTTACTCTGAAGCTGAAATTAATGATTGCAGATATATTCACAACTAAAGGATGAGGCGATTCCCCCACCCCTCTTATTTTGAAGGAAGATTAGAAATCTACATTAGTTTGGCCACAGATCACTAGTAAAATTGAATAATGTAATCATGAAAAGCTTATTAGATTATGTTACAAAGCAGATTTTTTTTTAGTAGGAAAAATAAGAAAAGTTGATATCTTTCTCTAGTTTCAGAGCATAATTTGAAGGCATATCTTTTTTTGTTCTCATGAAAATCTTATTTCTATTATTTATGGAAACATTTTTTACTTAAGTCGTTCCATTTGAATTTTAATTTTACATACACTGATCTATAAGTATACACAGCTCTGAAGAACTACTTAGTTCAGCTATTTTGTTTGCCAGTATAGTGTTAATGTTTGTTTATTCTTGATTAAATGTTTATGCCCATTGTGTTAAATCCCTCTAATTAGTAAGCAGATATGAATAATAAAGGAATTTTTCCTACACGGTATTGTACATGGAGACTTGCCGGCATGAATCCCCTGTAATGTGTAATTTGAGTGACTTGATGAGAGAAGTAGAGTTTAAATAAAAAGAATAGCATGTTGATTTTAGCTTTTCTTTTCATAGCTGTTGGAGTTAGCATGCCATCCATTCTTCACATGACCATTCTTGAAAATATTTAAAAATGGGGGGGGTTGTATGGATTACCTGTTGTTACTTTTGATTTTTAGAGCAGTTTTTTTCCAGAGCTTCTAACAGTTGAGAAATGGCTCAGATTGCCATGCAGCAATGACAGGAACCTTTAGTAATTCTGTAATGTTCTTCTCTGACTCAATTTCCACAAACCATTTTACTCTGGCCTGCTCACACCTTCGAGCCCCTTTCCCCTTCCATGTCTTTCATTTCTGAAGTGGCTTTAGTGAAGGACTTACTGTCTCTGTTGGATTGTGTGTTGTCTCTGCAAACTTTACTGTAGCTCTTGAATTGTGTGAGGCTTAAGGTAGCTGCCAAAAGTGACTTGTCAGCAAGTTACATTAGTTTTTAAAATTTGTCACCCAAATTATAAATCATACCAGCTGTTGTAGTATATGATGTTACTAAAATTAAGGTACATTGCACTTTTTCTTCTTTTTTAAAGAACTTGGTAACCCTTTGGGTTATAATCTCACCTTTTCACTTGAATGATTTCTCCCTTCTCAGTTGGGTTGATGAGGTATCAGGAAGCACCTGAGACTCTTCTCAGTAGGTGCCAAACATTTGGTTGACCAACTAGTTTAACAACATCTAACTTTTATCATTTTATCTGGAGTAAAATGCAGTCCTTGCTTGTTATGACTGTTAATACTTGACACTGTATTAGCCAGATCCTTTTCTATTGTCTTTAGCAAACTGAGGTGCTATGAATGCCCTCTCTGTAAGATGTCCTTGCCCCTGCCTTCACAGGTTTCTAGGGGTTGCTCGCTAGACAGAATTCTCTGAGCTTTAGGTATGGGCCACACTTAACAAAAGGGCAGCAGAAGCTGGGCAGGTGGAACATTGTAATTCCAGCATCTGGGTCTGGTGGCCCCAGAGTAGATCCTGCCTCTGAAAACTTAGACACACACACACACACACACACACACACACACACACACGCGCACGCGCACGCGCATGCCAGATGCTCTTTTGTAGGCTAGAAAGTTTTACAGGTGAAATATGAAATGATTTTTTTTCCTTAGAAACTGTGGTATAAATAGGTTAATTAGCACAAACACATTTTCAAAGGAGTGATAAGCCTTGGAACAGAAGCTGTTTATGAGTTGGGAACTTCTTCCTGTACTTTGAGGTCTGTGTTTTTCTTCACTTTGCAGATGACAAAAAACAGGCTATTGACCTCATTTCTAAGAACACAAAACTGGTAGTCAAAGCAGTTTTAGAACACAGACACCTCCAGCTCTTACAGTCACTTTGTAGGCTCATGAGCAGCAGCAGACAAGCTGCACTTGAAACAGGTATATAATGCCATTGATTTCATTGTAATCTACACTTTTTCTATGAGGAGCTTCTAAAGTCATTCTGAGTTAGAAGTACTGGTAATGGAAGGTGCTTGAGTAGCTGGATGTGATGATGAGTTTGGACCTTCTCCCACTTATAGCAACTTGACCCTCAGGGGCAGTAATCATGAATTTCATGAGGCATGTACTAGATCCTGGGGTAGTTAGGTCTGTCATCAAAGCTCTTATGATCTTTGTTTTTTCTTGAGGGTTTTCTTATCTTTAGGGCTAACTTGATTGTAACTCCTGAGCAGTTAGTTGCATAAAGAGAGCATTGGTTGTAGACCAGGCATTAGAAGCTAAGTAAGGATGCAAGTCTTCTTTGACCTGCTATGTTAAGGGGGTAACTTACAGCCTGTCTATGATGGATTTCCAGTCTTCATGCTGTCAGAAAGTGCTGAGTATATGGAATATTGCAATTTCTCTTCATTGTGCTGTCTTAATATTTATTAGTAGGCCTGTGTTCTCAGAAGTAAATCATGGAAAGACTAATATTACTTTGAGCAACCAAATCACATATTTTTCATTAATTTGTTTACTTTAAAAATTTAATCATAGGGTACCACAGTACTGTAGTTCATTTCAGTAATAAGGCCGCTCCACTTTAATAGATCTATGTCTTTCTAAAGTATAATGCTGTATAACTTTTCAGACATACAGGAAAGTTGCATTTTATAGTTAACAGTCATATTCCTACTACCTACTTTCTCTGACATTATATTTTGACTCACAGCATCTGCAGCTGTGCTTAAATCCTTATAGACTGTTGCTACATTCTTCCTGCGATATGAGGAATGATACTCTTGTTCCTATACTCCATGGTAAAGAGGATCTTTATTTCTGGACAGCATTTGCTTTCTGTAATACTTGAGTACAGTGCTTATAAAGAACTGTTTCTGTGTCTTCATTTGGTCTGCAGGTCAGGGTCAGATTCCATCCCTTTCAGGTTTTTGTTGGTAATTTTACCTGTTCATGCTGTAAGCCAGTGCATTCGCCCATGTCTGCTAAATGACTTGGCTTTGCTCAGTCTGTTGTCTCAGGAGAAACTCTGCGGTGGTTGATTGTTGGTTTTATTAGACATAATTTATGTGGAGCTCTTAAGTTCTTTTGAATTGTAAATCTCTTATCCAGCCTTTCGCTGCCATGTTTTATCCAAATGTCATGTCTTAATTTTAGTGTGATTTTTTTTCAAGTAATATAGGATATGAAAACATACATATACCAAATTAAAGGGGAAAAGATGAGGCTCAGCTTACTAGTTCTGGCT